GTTCGCCGTCTGCTTCGTCTTCCCGCCCGACGAGGTGCGCTCGGCGGGGCTGACCGTGCAGAGCCTGCTGGGCGCCTGGCTGGGCAGCGAGGACGCGGCCTTCGTGCAGTACCACGTGCGGCGCAGCACAGGCACGATGCTGGCGCACTCCCTGCTGCCCCTCGGTGAGGCCCGCGGGACCCCTGCCCCTCACGGGCTCCACGGAGGTGCCTTCGTGTGCGTGCTTGTTCCCTGAAAGTGCATCTTTTATTTATTTATTTGCAGGATATTACCTTGGTATGTGCTTCGCAGCCCCAGAAAAGCATCTTTGTTATTTTTACTTGGCTCCAAAGGGATGGAAAGCCTTCTTTTTTCTCGCTGTTCTCCTCCCAGCAGTCACCGGCGCCCTGGCGTATTACTGGTCGCGGAAAGGTTGGAATAATCACCCGCTAGCTCGGACGCTGGCTGTTCACGCGCTCCCGCAGTCGGGTTGGAGGGCAGTAGCGTCCTCCATCAATATGGAATTCAGAAGAATTGATAAATTCGCTACTGGAGCGCCGGGAGCACGAGTGATCGTTACAGATACGTGGGTGATTAAAGTGACCACCTACTGTTTACATGTTGCCCAGCAGCAGGACGTTCACTTGACGGTGACGGACTCCAGACAGCACGAACTCTCACCAGACTCCAACGTGCCCGTGCAGTTCCTCACCATCCGTGTTGCCAGTATTAATCCCTATGTGAAGGCGTTTGATATTCGGTAAAACAAAATACACTCCACCGTTATGCTATATGTGTGCTATTTAATAATGGAGTGCTTCTTGGAAGGTGTGAAGAACTCTAGGGTTTTGTCTTATAGGGTTCCTAAGAATAGTGGTGGAGGTAGGAGGAAATAAGTGGAAAAAAATTGGGTGAAAGATGGAGAACAGAAAAAAAACGGAGTGTCTCTCATCTCCCAATTTTTTGGGAAAAGGAATAATGATTTGTGTAAAACTGGGCATTGCTCATCTATGACTTCCTTTTTCCTCCTCCTGCTTAAGACTCATAATTTAGTCTCTGATTGAAAGAGTCTTCACTGAATTGTAAACCAATTGCACTTAAAGTGAAACAAGGAAGTAATTTAAGGTCACCTTTGATTTGTGTATCCTAGTAGTTGTAAATCATGGAAAATGTCCTGGAGATTGTTAGTGCTTGTTTTCCAAGGGCCTGTGCTGTTCGTTTTTTTTTGTTTTAGCAGTCCCTGAGCTTGACAAGAATGCAAGTTCTGCAGAAACTTAAAACAAGAATGCCCTTGGTTGGACGGATGCTGATACATGTTTTGATGTCATTGAAGGGAGTGCACAAAGCCATGCTTGTGTTCCTGAAACTATAAATTTGTAAAGATACTTGAGCATGTTTGCTCCAAAGCCCTATATCATGTAGTAGGCTGTTGGTATTACTAAAATATTAAGTTTTAAATGATAGACAAAATTTGACATAATGTAACAGTCATGACAATTTGAGTTTTTGTATACCAATAGCAGTATCCAGTTACCTTTTTTTTTGCAGTTAGTTAGAATGGACACTAAGGAGATCAGGATCATGGAGTCTTACAGGTTTTGAGGAGAAAGCAAGAGTTCATGTAACAATTAACTTTTCTTAACAGATGACTGGAACATGTATTTAGAGGTAGTTAAAAGTAAAGTGATTACTAGACTGAACAGAGGAGTCCAGACAAACATGGGAAAGCTGATGGGATGATTGTGTTAGGTCCAAGTGAGCAGAGCCTGGAATGAGGGTTAAGGTAAGCATGACCGAATAAGAGAAGAGATTTATATAGAATTGTATAGGTGGTGACCAAACATCTAAGGATTTCTTCTGTGAGTGCTTCAGTGCCAGAATGATAAAACTGCATCCCCAATGGAGAAAATCAAGACTTCTTTAAAACAGTTGCTTTAGAGGAGAGGAGGAGTTTTTTCCTTTTGTGGATAAACAAATCAGTACCAAGAATAGGGTTTAAAAGGTCTTGTAGTAAGACTTGTCAGAAATAGCAAATCTCTACTAGAATACTGGTTTTAAGAAAAAGGCAACAGGACAAAATTGCCTGAGAGTATAGAATCATTTATTACCATAATTGGATACAGTGGAATCTTTCTGAAAGAAAAATGCCTTTGTGGAGACAGAGCACATTTCTCTCTGTTTTGAATGTGAGTTTTTCCTCTAGATGCAAAGGTCTTTGTTATTTGCAGAGGTAGTATCTATTAGCAAACAACAGTATTATCCTGTAGCGCTTAAAACAGTGGAGGGCACCTGGAGCTGCAGCTCAGCCAGTGCTGCACTGTACCCTATCTGTTCCTCAGGGAACTGAGGTGGAGGTAGGAAGAATGAGGGATTTCAGGGCAGTGTTCCCAGGTTCTTTCATGAAAGCTGTTTAATGAGTGGAAACATAGAGTTTAGGAGTCCAGAATCTGCAAATCAGATTCATTTCATAAATTTTGTTCATTCAGATTCAGTTTCATTAAAAAGTGTTCAGTGGCAAGAACATCTCATTGAAGGTCTGTAAAAGGCCTCGTGTGCCCCAGGTAGTCTGCGGACCTTACTTAAGAGACATTTACCGTAGCAGAAGTGACATAGTATGAAAACTGCCTCAAATCAAATTTCAGGTCTCATCCAGGAGCTCCATGTAGTTGTAAAATTTCCTTTATAATGTATAATTGTATCATAAAAATACAGAAGCTTGTTACTGATTAACATTATTTATGTTTATCTAAAAAATGCAACATATGATATATATAATAATTAGTCTTTGTCCTCAGCAGCTTATAAACTAGAATTTAAATGTAATATAAATAAATAAGCATAAACAAGGAAGACAGAAAATGCAGTATTTAACAGTTTCTGCATGATTTATATACGTGTATATCTTTTGTTTAAACCAATTAGTTTACAAGTACAACTTTATTTTCATATGGTGTTTTCACTGATCTCTGGTATGTCCTGTTGACAGTTTGACCCAACTATGAAGGAAGGGCTTGGCATAAATCCTGAATTTAAATATTTTATATCTGTAGGTTGAGGCAGGAGGACAGCATGTTCTGTTGTCCTCTTCTTCTGTTGTTAAATCTGTCCTGACCCAGAATGCTAGTCTTAAAGCTCTATCCCTTTCATAAGGGATGAAGGATTGTACTTTGAAAAAGAGCTCACGGTTTTGGGGTGTCACAGTCCAGAAGTCTCACGTGTGACATTCAGAAATGTATATGTAACTATTTGAATTGGTGGGAGTCTAGTGCTCAGCTCCAGAGTTAGGAGAAAATGGATGAGAAGTGGTTTAAGTTGAGCATGCTAAAATGACAGACAATTTTGAACATCTTGTCTCTATAGGTGCCTGCCAAAAAATTAAAACTAGAATAAAGGTATTTCATTTTTTTTCTTTAATCTGTGAGAAAACAGAATAAAATTTATGTACATTTCTTTTAATAGCTTAACTGCCCACCGCCCCTCAAAAAAAAACTTTTAAAATTTATTCTGACCAATCTTCATCAACCTCAACAGCTTTTCTGGCAATTCACTTTTCTGATGTTAACCTCTGCAATATACTGAACAAGATATTTGAATGGATAACCAAGGTAACCTTTTGTTCCATCTCTTCAGGTTGAATTCCACAGAGTATGGGGAGCTCCGTGAAAAGCTCCGTGCTCCAATCACTAATGCAGCCAATGTTGTGATCCATCAAAGCCTCAGTGATTTATTTCTAGAAACTTTTACATCTCT